TTCCAAGCAGTAGTGGCCACATCCTTGACCTTTACAAGGAACCATTAAGAACATGTCCAACAAGCCAGAACTTTCCCTGCACAGAACCACAACTCAAAGTTTGGGTGCAGATAACTAGAGCAGTCATCCCTTTCTGTGGTTTTGTGTTCCTTGGTTTCAATTACCCACTGTCACCCGTGGTCTGAAAACTGTGAAAGCAGGTGGTTCTCCTGACTTATGGGCAGAAGGCCAATAGTAGCCCAATGCTATATCACAATGCCTATGTCATTCACCTCACTTCATCTCATTATGCAGGTATTTTATCATCTCACATCATCACAAGAAGTAGGATGAATACAATGCAATATTTCGAGAGACCACATTCAGATAACTTTTCTTGCAATATATTGTTAGTGATTGTTCTATTTCATTATTGTTGTTAATCTCTTACTGTGCCAGATTTACAAGTTAAACTTTATCATAGTTATGTATGTATAGGAGAAAACGGCATCTATAGGGTTCAGTACCCACCATGGTTTCAGACAGCCACTGGGGGGCTTAGAACGTACCCCCTGTGGATAAACGGGGACGACTGTAGATTAGAAAAAAGTTTAACATGACAGGGGTACCAGGGTGGCTCTGTCGGTTAAGCGTCCAACTTCGGCTCAGGTCATGATCTCACGGCTCATGAGTTCGAGCCCCACGTTGGGCTCTGTGATGACAGCTCAGAGACTGGAGGCTGCTTCGGATTCTACGTCCCCATCTCTCTCTGTCCCTCCTCCACTTGTGTTCTGTGTGTGTCTCTCAAAAATAAGTAAATATTAAAAAAAATAAAAATAAATTAAAAAGTTTAACATGACAGATACAAGTTGTATTTTCCATTCATGGTAACAGCTAAAAGAAAATCAAATAACAAAACCACAATGCTTATCAACCAGCATATAAGATTCTAAAATTATAAAAGTATAAGATTATAAAACATTCAGGAGATTTGGTGAGCCTGGCGAAAGTGTTTACTTACTAAAGAAAACAAGGAGAAGAAAGGAACTTTGGCTGTAACCTTGTGAAATGTTTATCTCTTTGCTGAAGCAGACACGTGGGCATTAGGCTCTTATTAGCCAGTGTTGCCATAAGAGATAGTAAAACTTGAAAGCAGAGTTGGAGGAATCAGCTCTTATCAGCTGTGTGGGAGAATCAGTTTTCTTGTTGCAGTAATTCTAAGGATGAAGATGAGATCAGTGGGAAAAAAAGGCAATAAAGCAGTTTATCCATCTCACCAATAAAAAAATGATTAGACTCCATTGCAATTATTTATCTGCTCCTTCTTTTAGATCAGGGAATAAGGATCTTGCCGTCTCTTCATTCTCTCTTCCAGAAAAATGCCTAGCAGAGTAGATGCTAAAGAAATGTTGGTTTATATTTATTAACTACATGGAAACAGGAATGCAGTTAGTGCTATGACACAGAGGTGCAGTGGGGTGCTGGATAAGGCATCTTGCCAAGAGAAAGTGGGTTCAACATTAAAGACTCTGTTTTCCCACACCTGACTTTGTGAGGCTCAGAGATTTCGCCCAGTCATTCATAGACATTATAACACATTCATGCCATTTACCCTATTGATGATTTGCATGATTTTTAAAAAAATTTTAATGTCTATTTATTTTTGAGATAGACAGAGACAGAGCATGAGCAGGGCGGGGGCAGAGACAGGGAGACGCAGAATCTGAAGCAGGCTCCAGGCTCTGAGCTGTCAGCACAGAGCCCCACAGGGGGCTCGAACTCACGCTCAACCAACATGACCTGGGCCGAAGTCAGACGCTTAACTTACTGAGCCACCCAGGCGCCTTGGTATGATTTTTTAGTTAGAGCCACATCGATAGCTATCAGGAAATCTGCCCCCCTCATCTGTCCAACCTCGCCCTTCCATCACACAGAGATGCTATAAATCGTACTCATTACACATGATTTGACTGCAGATATTCACAGCCGATGTGTAACATACACATATTAAAGTACACACAACCAAGCCATCCTTTCTCCACTTCTACCATAATTCCCACCATATTTAACTGGATCTCATATTTCTTTAACATCCTCAACTACTTCGCGAGTGTCAATCAATGAACTAGCCCAGTCACACATCAGCCGAACGACCCCTTTGAAAGAACTATTATTCAGAATCCTCTGTCTCCCAGATTACCTGAGTATATGGACAGAGCCTAGAAGGAAAAGATAAAAACAAAATATTTCGGGCCAAAAAATGTTAGATAATGAATACTGGAATATTGTAGATAGTGAATATTGGAAAATACTGTGGACAGCATGCTCAATATCTAGTTTTTATGATGATTCATACATTTCCTAGTTGAAATCTGTATCTTTATGCCATGCGTGCAGTTTTGTTTTTTATGCTTTATACATTCATCTTTTGACTTCCTAAATTTTGTTTTCATAATACCATAATGTCATGATGGTGTTTTCATCTCCCAAACAAACTCCTGGTGTGATTATTTCTAAGAAAACTTTTTTCACTTCCTTATTCTTTTGCAATTTTGGCAATCCTGTATTTCTTCCTGTTACACTATATGATCATGATGTCATTCATTTACTGAGCACCGCTTCTGGAAAGTTCAGGAAACAATTTTAAGAAAACGGAGACAAAGAGCAATTTATAAAAACATTTTAAGAACCAATAAACCTCAAAAAACCTGGCAAAAACTAATGTATCAAATGGTTCTCAGTGTTTACTGAATGGTTTTAAGTATTTGTAGACCGATCATATCACCAGATGATCATGTCAGCAACAGAAAAATGAGTGATCTTACATTGCAGAAGAAAGCAGACAGGATAAATAAATTTATGTTAGAAACTGACTTCATCCAATGTCATATCTCCTACTATAACTATCACTGTGCCTAGCACACATAGATGGATTAAAAAAAAAAAACATGAGGTAAATAGCAATTATCCCTTCACTTCCTGCCCAGATCTTGTATCTTTAATTAAACGGACCTGCCCATCTATCATGAAGCAGATGGTCTATAAAGGTCAAACACATTCCAACTCCATGTGTGGCAGTCAACCTGGACCTCCTTTGCTTAATTCCTGACATGGTTCAGGTGCTCTGGCTTTGAATATATTTGTAGGTCCTACTTGTGTTTTTTGGACATGTTGGCAGACCATGGCCTCAGAATTTTCTAGAGAATTTGGTTCAGACTCATTTCTCTGGCTCCCCCAGATAAGATACTCTTCAATTCTTACACTGCAATTCAAATTCTGGCTCATCTGGGTTCACCCATGTCCCCAGAAAGGTTTTACCCAGATGCTAAGTGTCAAAAGAGGCAAAAGTAAGGAAATCTAAACTGTTGGCAATCCTTCAAAGATGGTTCCCTGATGTCCCAATGTCAGGACACATTGGTTACATGAAACAGTGGCCTGAAACCATTTATTCATGCGTTGTTTCAACAAACATTTGTCAAATACTTTATATGAACTACACTCATACTGGAGATCGGATGCAAAGAGACATGAGATATGATAGCTTCTTTGCAGAATACATAATCCAACATAGGAGTAGGTAAACCAGTGGTTCCCAACAACATGATCTGTATCCAAGGGCCAAGATAATCCGTTGGACAGCGTTATGAACTTTCTGACGGAAGTGACATTTGAAATGGTTCCTGAGTGACAAGCAGACACCTCTGGGCCGGGCCTAAATTCCTGTTCTATCTCTCTGCACTTCCTGCTTCCATGTTAAACTCCAACCTAGAAAAATAAAATGCTTCTTTTTATTGTCATGTCATACCACACTGCTTCCAGCTTCCATGTCTTTGCTTATTTGGTCCTCTGTTTCTGGAATGGGTCCCCTACCCACTCACCTTAGGTAGCACCTTCCTCCAGAATGTTTTCTCTGATAGCTCCCACCCTTCCAAGAAAGGGAATCAGGGCCCCCCCCCCCCCCCCAGTGTCTATAAAAGTTCTGTGCATCGCCATGTATTGTGGACTTCCAGGCAACTCCTTATCTTTTTGTCTTCCTTCTATAGACTGTGAGCTTGGTAGTGACAAAGAATATCTTTTTCCCTCTATGAAGCCTAATTTATTCCTTAGCTTATAAGTGGTAGGCAAATGTTGAAGGAATAAATGGATAAGTGGGTTAAACATAGAGTAAATAGAACTACTTGTGTTGGCAAGTTATCTCTAGCAGAAATATGACAGATGAATGGTATTAAGCCAGACTAGCAAGAGACAGATACCTAATTTAAATGGTGTGAAAGAAAGAAAGAGAGAAAGAGAGAGGAAGGAAGGAAGGAAGGAAGGAAGCAAGTAGGCAGGAAGGGAATGTTGGCTTACATAGATAGCATCCACAAATAAATCAGAGCCACCTAGAGGCCATGGGTGCCCAAACAACGTCCTTTGTAACTTTCTCCCATGTCATGTGCTTTCCTCCGGGCCAGTTTCATTCTCAGGCAGACTCTCCCCCAGCACTGGCTCACCTCTGGGTCCCATGTTGCCAGTTTAGCAGCCCTAGGAAGAATTAAGGACTTCTTTTTCAATTATTTCAACAAAAATTCTAAGGATTGCTTCTCATTTGAAAGGGCTTAGGTGACTTGCCCATCTCTGAGTCAATCAGCAGGGCTTGAGGGTGGGCCCCAACAGGAAGGAACTGAGAAATGGGTCATCCCCTGAACTTCATGGATTGAGAGCAGATGAAACTAGGGTGTGTTACCAGGGAAAAGAGAAAGAGGAGCCCAACACGCCATATCTGAGGAGACTGAATAGAGAGGTTGGCCCGATTCCTGGTACACACTAATGCCTTTGGCCTGTATGGTGGATGGATCCAGGAATTTAACACCATGTTCAGACATGGCCACTCTTCTCCCCTCAGAGCCAGAATTATTACATCAGAAGAGATCATTTTAGGCAAGCTATGCCCTTTCCTGCTTGCCAATCAGCATGGGCAGCAATGTCTCAGCCTGTGTGCCCACCTGCCCCCCGCCGCCCCCAAAGCAGAACCTGAGTCATCAGCCCGCCATACAGGCAGATTTATTCGAGGAAATGTTCCCAAGGCTGGGACGGGAGAACTGGGAAGAGTGAAACAGAGCGTAGGCATCTGGGTTCAGTCCTTCTGGGGATCTTGTGAGAAGTCATGTACAGTATCTGCCTAAAACATGAAAGAGGAGGAAATATTTATCGTTGCCTCCTGTCCCAAATTGGCAAGAGATTTTCCACAGCAGTGACAGAGAAACTTTGCAGCAAAAAGGCGTCTGGCGCAGCTATGGCGAGGACTTGTAAATGTATACCTGCACACAGCTGGTTGCGTGCGTTTACCAGGGTAAAACAGTGGGCCTAGATGATGTAACATCCTAGATTTTACTAACTGTTGATTCCGAAAGATTGATAAGAAGTACTGGGGGCCAATGGAATTTAACCACCAAAGCATCCATTTTTGAAAAAAGACTCTTCCATTTCTTAAGAGTCTTGCTTATACTGGTTTAAAGCAATGTGCACAAAGGGGCACCTGAGTGGCTCAGTTGGTTAAGCATCCGGCTCTTGGTCTCTCAGGTCATCATCTCAAGGTTCATGAGTTCCAGAACCCACCAACCGCCCCCCCCTCCTCCCTGCCTGCTTGAGATTCTCTCTCCCCATCTCTCCCTGCCCCTCCCTCACTCACTCTGTCGGTCTCTCTCAAAATCAACTTAAAAAAAACGAATGTGCATAAAACCTTGATGTTTAACTCTTGCGGAAGTAATTGACTCAGAGAAGGACACGGTCAAACAAGAGAATGGATTGGTTCCTTGTAGTAGGCCGTAGCAGTCCTATGCTTATAAATATTTCTGCATTTTGGTTGAGAAAGATTTCATGGATTTAAGTGGCATATTACAGAAAAAATAACAACCAAAAAGGAACCTTTTCCTTTTTACCTCATTTTCAAGAACAAGTGGCATTAAATCGTTCCTGGAAGTTTAATTCTGCACAAGCCACAAGTGTTCGCTGCTTCTTGACATGCTCCATTTACTCCTACTTTTGTTTGTTTGTTTGTTTTGGCAGCTTCTGTAGATAAATTGGAGTTTCTGATGTCCCTGAACACCCTCATTTACGTCAGTTTTAGGTCGGTCTGGAGATCATTACAGCAAAAACACTTTCTGTTTTTCTTTTTCTGTTTTTTAAAAAATTTTTTTAAAGTGTTTATTTTTGAGAGAGAGGGATAGAGAGACAGAGAGACACAGAGACAGAGACAGAGTGTGAGCTGGTGAGGATCAGAGAGAGAGGAAGACATAGAATCTGAAGCAGGCTCCAGGCTCTAAGCTGTCAGCACAGAGTCTCGAACTCACGAGACTTGAAATCATGAGCTGAGCTGAATTTGGAAGGATGCCCAACTGACTGAGCCACCCAGGCACCCCCTTTGTTGTTGTTGTTGTTGTTTTTTTTATTTACATGAAGTTGAGAGATTTGTACAGTATGACTTGTGCTGAAGCCCAACTATTTGAGCCTATAAAACATGATGAAGTGTTCAAACCGGGGTAGCAGATATTTCAGATTTTCATACCTGAGCAAATACGAACTCAACAAACATTCACTTTTCTTTAAGAAGCTACCAGTAAAGCATGCATGTCCACTGATTTCATTTTGGTGGTGTTCGAAATTGATGCAGAGAACAAACTTTTTTAAAAAATGATCTTTTTATTTTGAAGTAATTTTAAGTTCACAAAATTTGTAAAAATAGTACAGTTTCTGTGCACCTTTCACTCAGTTTCCCGGGTTGCAAACACTTGACATTAACAGGGAACATTTGCCAAAGCTTAAGAAGCCAAAATTGGCACATTATTGTTATTATTGTAAGTTTATTCATTTGTGTGAGAGAGAGAGAGAAAGAGAGAGAGTGTGAGTGGGGGAGGGGCAGAGAGAGAGGGAGACATAGAATCCAAAGCAGTCTCCACCTCTGAGCTGTCAGCACAGAGCCCTTCGAGGGGCTCGAACCCACGAACTTACAGATCATGACCTGAGCCGAAGTTGGACGCTTAACCGACAGAGCCACCCCGGCGACATGGCACATTATTACTACTATTAATGAAAACTCCAGACTTGATTGGACTTCACCAGATTTTCCACTTATTGTCCACTTTCTGCTCCAGGACCCAACCCAGGATGCCACCCTCAGTGAGTTATGTCCCCCACTTCCCTCTGAACTGTGACAGTATCTGAGTCTTTCCTTATTTGTCATGACTTTGACGTTTTTGAAGAGTTCTAGTCAGCTATTTAATATTCCTCAGTTTAGGTTTAAGGGATGTTTTCTCATGGCTAGACAGAGTTACAAACTCTGGGGGAAAGTACCAAAGAGCTAAAGTGCCCTTTTCATCATATCATATCAGGAGGTACATGATATCCACTTAATACCGAGTGACGCCATTAACCTTTATCCTTTAGTTAAGGGGAGGTGTACCAGATTTCTCCACGGTCAAATTACTTGGTTTTCGGAATTGGACAATTTAAGAAAATGTAACAACGTATATGAACAGGTTATAACAGGAGAGAATTATGCTATTAGTGAAACAAAACCATGCAGGATGTATGATTATTTTGCTGTGCTCACAGTTTAAAATATTAAATTTGAACCACTCAACTAGGGGGATAACAGTGTTTTTGTTTTTGTTTTTGTTTTTTGTTTTTCTGGGTTTTTGTTGTTGTTGTTGTTGTTGTTAAATCACTCCTCTCTAGGAATTCTTAATCATGTATCACACAGCATCTTTATCGGAGCATTATGGTTAAAAGCCATTCTCTCTGAGTGTGAGTCCTAGACTCAATATCCTGTGACTTTGGGAAAGTTACTTAACCTCTCTTCACTTTAGTTTTTATATTTGTAAACTTAAAGCCCCATAAACATAACCTTAAAGTCCCATAATAATATCTATTTCACAGGGTTGTTTGGAAGATTGAATGAGTCAATATTTGTAAAAACCCTTAGAAAAGCACCTGCAATTAAGCACAAAATAAATGTGCTGCACCTTGGAGTAGGTGCAGAGGCTTAGTAACTAACCCATAGTATGTGGCAACTAAATAAAGGAAGTGGTCTGTTTCGTATTTACTCAGAATCCTGTAGACTCTTATTCATTAGCTACTATGTTTGTTGAATAAAAACTCAAATTTTCAGTGACTTTGTTAAAGTTTATTCTGTAGAACAAACAAAAGTTAAGAGATTATAGAAAAAAATAGTCTCTTCATAACTTTCTGATTTTATAAACTTCATAAAACGAGGCTGTCTTACATTTACAAGTAGAAAACAAAGCAATACACCTTTCAAGTTTTAAAGAATGCTTTTGGATTACTGGCCAGTTTCCCATCAAATCCCAGAACACAATTTATATATAACGAGGGGAGACCCACACAGACTCAATTACTCATAAGCTAGTCTCATATTTACAACTTTCAGGATTTTTTTTCTCCCTTCTTACTGCTTAACACAAATTTTAATCTTTCAATTTCCCTAGTTTTTCCTGTCAGGAACATACTGACCAAGGCTAGAATGTCTTTAAAGATAGTCATCTTTTCCAACAAATGCGATGAAGAGTCTTTAAGTCAAACTCCTTTTTATAAATGAAGTGATTGAAACTAGGACCACAAGCTAAATCAGTGGTAGAGTTCAACAGTAAAATTGAAAACTCTCGGGTAAGTGTATCTCCTAGTAGAGTACAGTTGTGCCTTCCTTTCAGGAAGCCTAATACAGAACATTTTTTTGGGGGGGGGGGCTAAAATATTTTAATCTGCAATAGACAAGATATTTTCATTTATAAGGGTACAGATAATTTTACATTCACTAGTAGTACTTCACAGCAAATGAAATACAGTACGTAATTAACTAAGCAACATCTATAGGCTATTGCTCCCCCTTCAAAAGTTCCTGAAAGTCTTAGTTCTCATGATGGCACAGAATCCCTGCATATAACTTCGTTTTACTCTATATTCACTCAACACCTTCTGTTTTCCCGCATTTGTCCCTATTTCACACTTTCATGACTTTTTTTAAAAACTAGAGCAAAATTAATGAGGAAAAATGTTCACAATTGTGTAGCTTGGAGAACTGTGTAGCTTTGAGTTTTGAGTGTGTAGGAAACAATTGGTTTACAACATCTGATGGATTTTGTTTTCATTGCCATGTTAGAGTAACTATTTCTTCCCAAGAGGGAGAGATTCAACAAGTAAGTATTTAAAAAGAAGAAAAAGGAGGAGGAAGAGGAAGAGAAAAAGGAGAAAGAAATTTTTGTTCTGTTCTTGTCTTTGCCTATTCTTGTGGTAGTTGGTTTTCCTTTTTATTTTTTAAAAGTAAACTCTACCCTCAACTTGGGGCTCGAGCTCAGGCTCTGAGATCAAGAGTCCAATACTCTTCCAACTAAGGTCGCCAGGTATCTCTGTTTTAGTCTTTTAAGGCGAATATGCTCATTTTCATTTTTACATATGAATTGAAATTATTTCATCTTTTTTTAATTTTTTTGTCTTTGTCCTGTGTTTGTGGTTTATTATTTTATTATTTTTTTAATTTTATTTTTTAATCTTTTTAAATTTACATCCAAATTAGTTAACATATAGTGCAACAATGATTTCAGGAGTAGATTCCTTAGGGCCCCTTAACCATTTAGCCCATCCCCCCCCCCACAATCCCTCCAGTAACCCTCAGTTTGTTCTCCATATTTATGAGTCTCTTCTGTTTTGTCCCCCTCCCTGTTTTTATATTATTTTTGTTTCCCTTCCCTTATGTTCATCTGTTTTGTCTCCTAAAGTCCTCATATGAGTGAAGTCACATGGCATTTGTCTTTCTCTGACTAATTTCACTTAGCATAATACCCATGTAGTTGCAAATGGCAAGATTTCATTCTTTTTGATTGCTGAGTAATATGCCATTGTGTGTGTGTGTGTGTGTGTGTGTGTGTGTGTATATATATATATATATATATATATATATATATATATATATATCACCTCTTTATCCATTCATCCATCGACGGACATTTGGGCTCTTTCCATACTTTGGCTATTGTTGATAGTGCTGCTATAAACATGGGGGCTCATGTGTCCCTTCGAAACAGCACACCTGTATCCCTTGGATAAATGCCTAGTAGTGCAATTGCTGGGTTGTAGGGTAGTTCTAGTTTTAGTTTTTTGAGGAACCTCCATACTGTTTTCCAGAGTGGCTGCACCAGCTTGCATCCCCACTAATACAGAACATTTTAAATGTGAAAAGAAAAATTGGGGAGTGAACCTTTCCATTACAATTGTTTTTTTCTTTATGGAAGGATTTACAACGGGTTGAGTTTCTGTTTAGGCAATGCTGGGAAAAGTTATTCCACTCACTTAATGAACATTTATATAGTGTTTAATCTGCACCACCTCTCACAAATGTTGACTCATTTCTCATAACTATCTTGGTGTGGACAGAGAAATGTTTAACAACTTGCAGGTGGCAGGTGGTTTCGCTAAGGGCTCAGTGGCCGGCTGCCGCGAGCAGGCTGTTACCCACTAAGCTGGGCAGTCTGGGAGCCCTGTTCCTACATACCCATCTCTGGGCCAGAGGTCATTCCTGTTTGTTCCCCCCTTCCCTCATGGGATTCCACGTCTCCAAGAGGTCTGAATCCAACCTGGAGAATTACACTTAAACCCTCTCTACCTAATCTTGAATTCGTCAGATTTCTCTAAAACTTCTGGTGAAGAAATAGCGAAGGTGTCAGCTTCAGAGACTGAAATTCCTAGTCCGAAAACAGACAAGTCACTGTTGCTAGAGAAAGGGAGACCAGCCCTGAGGGTTGTGTGGTAACGGATTTTTGAGCGTGATGTGGCGGTTCATGTGAGGGTGCCACACAGCAGGTACCCGCTCACTGGGGACCATGTGCTGCTTTGTCCCCGGAAAGACCAGAAGGAGTGAATTCCGGGAGCCTGGCCAACTTGCCCCTCTCCAGCTTGAGACTGATGGCCGGTCCTGTATTCCATAGCTCAAATTTGAACCCCTCATGCATGGAAAAAGAGATTTTCCGGGATTTAGGGAATTCCAACATTTTGGAGAGTACAAGGAAGTTCAGCAGGATACAAAAGAAGAAGGAAAAAAAGGTCATGTTACAGCCTTCTCCTTTCACTGAAATCCACACTGGAATCGACTCTAGACACTGATTCTTACTCCCACCAAATGGAAAACATAACCGAGGTCATCTAAGTGTGATTTGAGAATATACAAGAGAAACAGTTTGAACATTTTTCTCTGGAATCTGAGACGCTGGCTGTATTTTTGACAGCATCCCTTTCAGGCGTAGGACCTGTGCAAGAGATGGAAGGTAGAGAGCCAAGCAAATGTACCCCCTCGCTATCCTTAATTCCCCCAAATCTGATCACTAACGAGACAGAACTCTCCCTCCAAAACTGCCGCGCCATCCCTGTCCGGGGCTCACAGATCCGTCCCCAGCTCCTCTCCCAGCGACCGGGGATCCCTGGGCGCCCACGGCCGCCGCACCCTCCCCCGCGGTGGCAGCCGCCGCGGGGCGGCCACTCACGCCCCCTTTGCGCATTGGGGCGGACAACGGTCTCTGAGTCGCCGGCACCCGCGGGCGGGTCCCCCTCCACCCCGGGGGCGGGGCCGCGCGAACCTTCCGCACCCGGGAATGACCCGGGGCGCCGGGAATTTCCCTGCCCCCCCACTGCGCCCTGCGCCGCGCCGCGCCGCGCCGAGTCGACAGGGGATAAAAGCGGTTCTCCCGGCTCGGGGAGCCACAGAGTCCGCTCCGCCAGCCCTCCCGCCAGCCGTCCAGCTCCAGCCACCGCCGCCGCGACTCCCCGAGCTGAGCCCCATGGCCCGCACCGCGCCCCGCGCTCCCCGGCCCCTCGGCGCCGCGCTGCTGCTCCTGCTCCTGGTCCCCGCCGTCCGGCGCGCCGCAGGTGAGGCCCGGAGCCCGCGGGGGGACGGGGTGCGGGTGCGAGTGGGGGTGGGGAAGGGGTGCGCGCCCCGGGGCCGCCCGCTCACCCGGCCTGCTCTCCCCGCAGCGGCGCCCGTCGTCACCGAGCTGCGCTGCCAGTGCCTGCAGACCGTGCAGGGCATTCACCTCAAGAACATCCAGAGCGTCAAGGTGACGCCGTCGGGCCCCCACTGCGCCCACACCGAAGTCATGTAAGTGACGCCCCGAGCTGCCGCCGTCCTGGCCGTCCCCCCCCCCCGCCCCCGTGCCCCCCACCCCGCGGCCCGGCCTCCCGCCAACGGGGACTCTGCCTTGTCTCCGCAGAGCCACTCTCAAGAACGGACACGAAGCCTGTCTCAACCCCGAAGCCCCCATGGTCAAGAGAATCATCGAAAAGATGCTAAGCAAGTGAGTTATGCTTTCTGTTGACGCGTGCCGCTAGAGTCCTTGGTCACGGATCCTGGCAAATGCGTCCGGGAAGTTTGATCAAGGAAACCTAGGTTTCGCTGAAGGACTGAAAAATCTGTTTCACACTAAATTTGCTGTTCAGGTTATTCATCCGCTTTGTTGCGGGAAGAATATTTCTAGTGCCCTTTCTCCCCATTCAAACGAATGTGGGTAAACTTGCTTTTATTACAGTTATTGGTGTTGGTCAGTTACATTAAAAAGCTTTCCACCTGTTAAGAAACATAGGCATCCCCCCCACCCCCCATTCCTTCTGGGCTTCACGTCTGCAAAGCAAAATCCTTGGTGTTGTGCAACATAGGTTCTAAAGCTTAGAGGTGAAGAGCGGGCACCTTGTAGTGACACTGTACTAGGAGCAAATCTGGATTCTCTCACCTATCAGCCACGTGACCCAAGGATGATGACGATGACGATGATGATGATGAATCTAAAGCTTCTGTACGCCCAGGAAAAGAGTAAACAGTAGTAACTACCATATGGGGTTGCTATGAGGCTGAAGGGAGGCCCAGTGTGACAGAGAGAAACACGTTGTGGCTGTTCGTAGCCAATAATTGAGCCGAGACCACAGGCTCCACCTACATTCCCAAATGAAAGCATCCAAGAGCTTAGAGGTCTCTACCACACAATGTAGGCAGTAGCCTTTTAGATGCCAGGCTGGGGAAACTAGCTTCAGAAAACGCTGGAACGTCACAGTTGGGACAGGAGAGGGGTGCTGTGCCAGCCAGCTTTCCTGATCAGTACTAAGGATGACATTTTTCTCATTATTGGGCAGCTCCAACTGACCAGAGGAAGGCAGAAGCAGACTGGTGGCTGCACCTGAATCCGGCCTTGCCCTTACAGGAATCAAAGAGGAAAAAGTGGAATCGTCAGCGCCCAGTGCCACCAGAATTGGGCCTCATACGCTTTGAGCGTCTCTTAGGAGAAGCCTCCTATTTATTTATTTATTTATTTGTTGGTGGGCTGGTTTTCAGAGATTCTCTGCCACTATTTTACATGCAACGTAATTATAGGCTGCGATTGAATCTATTTGCGGCACTATGCCGTTATTTTTATTGTTTATTTTATGTTAAACCCAGCTTAGTTCAACCCTGATTTGTATTTACTTTGAAGGTAAAGGTTTGCACATATTCCCAGTCATTAAATTAATACTTCTGAGGAACCCACAGCATACCAGCCACTGTGACAGTGGCTGGGGCATCCAAGTAGAGAGTGAGGTTGTTATCAGGCTGGGGAATGTATGTGCACAACTATTTTTGTAATTGTTTAAAAGAATGGCTGTTATTTATTGAAATGATGTCACAGTATGTGGTCAACATTTCTCATGTTGAAGCTTTAGGAACTGCAGTGTTCTACATATCCTGTGGACATTTTATGTCTTTCCTGTAAGGCATAATGCCTTATTTATTGTTAAATATACAGTGTTTCTCTATATCTTATAACAGAGAGGCTCACATATTTATTGCTATTTTTGAAAAGAACTTGAAAATAAAGTATTTCAAAATAAAAAAAAATGTTTGTTTCATTTAGGGGCAAAAAGTCTGTCTTTACTGGATCATCTGATGATTTACAGCAATATTTCTCGACCTTTTTAAAAATTGTTTTTCCTCCTGGGCATTCAATTTGCTACACAGATAAGTCAAACTATAATTTATGCTTGACTTTATCTGATGATAGCTGTCATTTCATTTACCCAGGAATATGCTTGGGTTTCATTTACCCAGGAATATGCTTTTCCCAAGTATGGGTTTCCCTCTGTCCCTCAGTGTAAGAGTCACTGATATTTATTGCCATTTGTTACAAAGAGCTTCTCTCTACCCTACTACTCAATTTTCTCTCCTCAAAAGCATTTACATTCTTAGAGCAATCTTAACAAGGAGTCTCATTTAATTGCTTTTGCTAAATGACTCTTCAAACAATTATTGACAATTTAATGAAGCTGGTAGGGAAATGGTCGTAAAGTGAATTTTTTCTTCAAACCTCAAATAAGTTGGGTCACCAGTAGAAGCACAAAAAGTGAATAGCTGAGTACTTTGTCTATGAAAAGATCTAATTGACATTTGTGTTCAATTTTCTAACCTTCATTTATAAGTAACTGACACTGGGGTGCCTGGGTGGGTCAGTCGGTTGAGATCCCAACTCTTGATTGCACTCAGGTCATGAACCCAGGGTGGC